TGATAGGAGCGAGATGTTTGATAGGTTGCCTCATTTTCTTTGTTGCCCTCCACAGTGAGCAATTGGTTTTCTCACACGCCGTCAAATTTTGAACATAATTAGCAGTCGAATCCTCTTTGTGTTTTCTAATACAGCGTCTTAGTTGCTGCGATTCACGATTATATCTGGTTTTATCAGTAGGATCATACGTTTGCTGCCACCTCTTTCTCGCCCGCCTGCTTCGTCTTACTTTTGCTAGTATATGTGGGGGATAGTTAATGCCCCCCTTCTAATAGCACTAATTTTGGAACTACTCCAAGCCGCATTTTGAATAATTTTAGTAAAGTTTTCGGCCTCCTCATCTATGTGCTGGGTTGTTCTTATTCTTTTCCTTAGATCTATTTGTCGTTCAATCTCTAAGCGAAATCTTGACCAATCTGTAGTTCCATTTGTCAGCGCAGGTTTCGCGCTTTTCATAACTATATTTTCCTTAAGTTCAAGAATAACCACCGAGTGATCGGAGTCAAGATCATAGTTATCATGTACCTTGATGAAATTTTTCGCAATCCGTTTTGTTATGAAGAAATCTATTAAATCTGGACACTTATTAACATCGGTTGGCCAATACGTTGGTTTCGCAGTAGAGTGAAAAAGGCACCCCGTGCCGCCAATTGCTGTGCCATAGTTGAGGTGTGCCTTAAACCCCAAACAGTGTGCTTGGCGTTAAAGTCACCCCCCAATATAAATCTATCGCCTAGGTCTGTCAAAAGGCCCTGAAACATTTCTGCCGTAATTTTAAATCTGGGGTGACAATACAATGCAGCCACTCTAAATTTTTGTTTGGTCGAAGTGATCTGAACCGCCGTCATTTGCATTCCCTCGGTTTGCATCTGGTGCAGATCGCAATGCACCACATTTTCTTTTATTATTATCGCCGTTCCGCCCTTCGCTATATTTCCAGGGTGGTCCAATTCGGTTCTCTCTGGCAAAATTTTTGTGTATGTCCATACCTTTGACACCTTTTACACTGCGGAATGGTCCTATTCTTTCGAAGTGCCTCTATCCTAACTTTCATCCTGTTTATGTGATCGATTTCATAAATTTTTTTCATCTCCTCTTCATTTGAGAATGTTAACATAAACAGCGGTAGAGGCACCATAATGTTTTTCCCATTTTCTTTTATTTTTTTAATTTTATTGGTTACATCTAAGATCTTGTAACCCCTAGAGCTTAGGTCTTCTTTTATGTCTTCCGGTTTACAACTGGGATGAAGATTTCTTATCATGACTTTTATTGGTCTGGCCTGCTTGTTCTCATAGGTATGCCATTCTAGTCCAGATCCATTCATGGCCCTGGCAAGATTCCTGTAGTCCATTTCGGAATTTACAATAAGCTTAAATTGATTGTTGTTCATCATTTTAACCTTATAATTGATGTCCTTATTTTTTAATGTTGACTCTATTTTATTGGTGTCAACCACATTACTTATGACTACTGGAGGCGGCCTAGAGTTTTTCGTGACATTGCCTCGACTTTTAGAATCAGGAACATCCGCTTTCTCAGCGTTGGTCGTCACCTGAACCACTTCCGGAGATGATTCCGCTTTTCTTTTTTTACTGGACCTCTTTTGCTTTAGGATCCAATCCGTTTCTCTGGCGAGTTCCTCCTCATCTGTTGAGTAGGCGTCCAAGACTGACCTCACCTGCTTTGCTCGTGGTGCAGCGTCTTTTTCTTTGTGACTGCCCACATTAGACTTATTGTTTGTAATTTTCGTATGCTTCTCTTTCTTTAGCTTCTCATTTTCAGCCCTCAGTTGAAGAAACTCACTTTTCAAAGCCACACAAAGCTGTTCCAGTAGGCTAATCCTTTTGTGTATGTGAGCATTCTGATCATCACTTTTTTTGTATTGAGCTTTACTCATGTTTATATTCTTATTGGTCTGTGGAGCTTGAATGTTCGGTAGTCCACCTTCTATATTTCTATTCTTTTCTAAAATCGCACATCAGATGTAGGTGGTGAACGCCGGGTTTTCGCGTTCCTCCTGAACGGATCAATCAAATGCAATAAATGGCTCTCCCCAGAATCCGTGGAGCCGACCTCCGAAGAGGGTGGATTCTCCAACGTAGTTGAATTACCACCTGGGGTACTAAATCCTTTTGTTTTGTCCATTGCACAAATGATTAAATTCTGCATTTTATACCTATTGCCAGGATTCAAAAACTGCCGTCCCTCAGGGATCAGACGTAGACCAGGGAGTCGCCTATTCTAGGTCAGACGCTTCTGGATTTACCGCCCGCGCGCTTCCTAACCAACGATAGCCGGATTAAGCGCCGAGTACTCGCTTTCACCCGCTCTCGTCAGCCTTACTAAGTAAGTTGCCCAGGAGACACCCGGCAGATAACTATGCTACCTACCTTCTGGGAGGTGAGAGTCGGATTTGTTGGCAGACCTGATGTTTTCAGAGGGCATTTCCTAGCATTTTCAGTTTCACATGTTAGGAAAATGTGAGACTGACTAGGACCCATGCCAACTTTTGTCCCCCTATGTAATTTGTAACTATGAATATAGTTACAAATTTATGTGTTATTTTTTCAACAAAAAATTTATAATTTTGCAACAATATGTATATATAAGTACTCGTACATTACATACATATTTTTACTTTAGACATTTTTTATGTTTTTTATTATTCTAACCAACTCATGTTATAAATTACCTAAGGATTTGACAATCTCTGATTCTTTGAATCTTCTTATACTAAATTTTGTTCAGATAGATCTAGGAGCTTCCTTCTTTTCAAGTGTCGTAAGTAGCTGTTATTACTGTTGATTAGTTTCTGAATTTCCATGTTGTTGTATTTAATTTTCGTTTTGTTTGTATGCTAAAATTTGATTTTTGGTTGACACATCGGAGTTCTTGCCTAAAAGCTAATGATATTTTCTATTCTTTAGGTTAAGTTCATCTTTTATAATTTTTATATACTCTTTCCACCTTAGTTTGACATCTAGAAACATTCCCAAGTATTGGGTAATATTTGAGTACGGTACCATTGCACTATTCACTTCAATAGGTAATTGTGATATTTTCCCATTTGCGAAATTAATAAGTGTAGATTTAGCTTCGCCCCTTTTTTGCCCAATTGTCAACTTTGTTTATGTTTTTTTTTGAGATTACTTGCTGCAATACTTGGGTTTGCGTTACTGGAAAGGAGCGCGAAGTCGTCAGCATATATTGCCGTTGACTCATTGCTCTCTTGAGGGATTCAACCCATATAAATAAAGTACAGTGTAGGCCCAAGTGCACTTCCTTGAGGAACTCGTGCTTCTATGTTATCTAGATTGGAATATTCGCAACCATAATGCACTATAAATTTTCTATCTGTTAGATAAGGACAGAGTATTTGATAGTGTTGCATCGGTAGGTCTCTATTAGGTAGTTCGTATTTTAATCCTTCCAAACTTGCCTTTCTATTAATGTTTTCACTAATTGATTGCTTTTTCAGTGCTGTTTTTATTTCAATTTATTTGGTTTGTTTAATTTTATCATCTAGAAGCCGCAATTGCTGCCATTTTAGCCTAATGTTTATCAACTTTAGGACTTTAGGTGGTTAACTTTTATGTTGCTCATACTTGGTTATACTAAGTGGTGTATTTTCCCATGGTACTTGTTGAATGTCTGCGGTAAATTTCTCAACTTACATAATTATTTTTTCAAATGTAAACAAATTGTGTTTATTTAATATTTTTATATTAATATTATTGTTTATATGTATGTATTACATCAAATTATTGATCGGAAGACAAAATAGTTTTTGTAAGATGTTTGCGAATAGACTTTTTTTTATTTTGCAGCCCAATCATGAATTTCGTTCGTAGTTCCAAAATTCAGAACATTACGAATTTCATATTCTCAATTCCGAATTATCAAAATTCTACTACGAATATTCATAATAAAGTCATCATAAATTACGTTCGCAATAAAAATAACCGTCAAAAGTCTACGAAAGAAGTGTTTTACATGAAACCTCTATATTCAAAAAGGAAAAAAGTAAAAGAAAAAGGCATTGCAGGTTTCAGCAGGACTGATTACAGCTATCTGATTTCCAAATTTAATATTTTAGGAAATTTAAATATTTCTACTTTTGCGAAAACGAAAATAATAACTTAAAATAGCCTACAATTTGAAAACAAGACATAGTGTCCACTAAATAAATACTAAAAATGCTAAAATTTCCTAGATCATAAAATTTGATGTAATTAATGATACACTGCGTTATATGGGAGCGTACTTTATGTTGGCTTCATTTTTTTTATTAAGAAATATAAACAACATATTATTTTCCGGCAGTCTAAATAGGGCATTATAAATATCTTTAAATGTTTCGTTTGATTTGATGAAAATATGCAAAAAATAAATCATTCACAATAGGAAAACATGACATTTTACTTTGACTATATTCTCCATTTAAAATTTGTAGTTAAACACTATGCATTACATGCTACGAGAGTAACATGTTATTCGTGTTTTGTGAATAACCCAGCATTTACACGTACAAGTTACTTGCAAGAAAGTTGCAATACATACAAAAATTTTACTAACCCATTGAAATATTTCTACTTGCTTGTTTACTTGCAGTTCAACTTGCAAGAAAATTTTGCTGCCAGTAATTTGAGCAAGTAATTTGACATATTGAGAAATTCACAAAAAAAATTTGTTGTTTTGATTTTTTTTTTTTTTTAATTTAAAATTTTTGAATTTTGTTTTGAAAAAATTAAACTTAGCAAACTTATGGTTTCTAAAATTTCTAAACAATTATATATATTGCTAGTTGTTTTCTTCTCAAAGACATTTTCAAAAATTAACTTGCTAAACGCCTACGTCATAATAGCAAGTAATTTGACATTTCGAAAAACTAATTGACAATTAATATTATACAAACTTGCTTGCAAGTAACTTGTATGTGTAAATGCTGGGTAAGATATAGCATATTATTCTCCTGTAGTCTGCAGCTTTTGACAGCACTGTTTTTGTATATGTCAAAAAATTTTATTTAGTATACAGCAACCTAAGTCTATACACTTTCTTCATTTCACAAACTTAATAAATTTTAATATAAAAAAAAATTAAAAGAAAAATAAGATGGGAAGAGCTGAGGTGGGAACCCCAAAATACTTGGCTAATAAAATGAAAGCTAAGGGACTGCAAAAACTTCGCTGGTATTGCCAAATGTGTCAAAAACAATGTAGAGATGAAAATGGTTTCAAATGCCATACTCAAAGCGAAGCACATCAAAGACAATTATTGTTGTTTGCAGAGACTCCTGGAAAATATATTTATAGTTTCTCGAAAGAATTTTCCGATGGATTTTTGGAAATATTACGACGAAGATTTGGTACAAAAAGAGTTAACGCAAATAAAGTATAAACCAGACATTCACCTGTATTTAAGTACGTTTTACTTTACATCAATCTTTAAAATTTCAAATAGGTTTATCAAGAATATATTTCGGACAAAAATCACTTGCACATGAATGCGACGAGATGGTTAACACTGAGCGATTACGTAAAATGGCTCGGAAGGTCTGGGATATGTGTAGCAGATGAAACAGAAAAAGGTGTATTCTTATTCAGGGCTTTAAAAAAGTTTTGTTCACTACTAAATGAGCTATCTTGATTTTAATTTTAGGATGGTTTATTACTTATATAGACCGAAGTCCTGAAGCTTTAGAAGCACAACAAAAAAAAGATAGAAAAGAAAAAGCAGATAAAGATGATCAAGTAACTACATAAATTGTAATTTTTTTAAAGAAATTTTAATAACGCATTTTAGGAAAGAATGATGGAATTTGTGGAAAAACAAATAGAACGAGCAAAAGCCACCGAAAAAATTCCATCGACATCACATACTGCAAAAGAATTCCAACGCGAAGAAGAAGAACCCTTGAAATTAGAATTAAAGATAAGTAGTAAACTTAAAACTGAAACCGTGGAACTTTCAAAATTAAATTTGTTAAAGCGTAAACCAGAGGAACAAGGAAATATATTTAAAAAACCAAAATCGGTGTACAGCGATTTATCAATTTACAATAAGAAACAGTCAGCCTTAGACGAGATAATAAAGATGGAGGAGTCTAAAAAAGAAAAGCAAAATAGAAAAGATTATTGGCTTGCTGAAGATATTGTTGTTAAATTTATATCAAAATCTTTAGGCGGTGAATATTATAAACAAAAGGCTATTGTGTGTAACGTTATAGATAACTACCAAGCGAAAATTAAATTCATTGAAAGTGGAAAAAAATTTAAAGTAGACCAGGAACACTTGGAAACTGTAATTCCTGCCATTGGTAAGCCAGTTAAAGTGTTAAATGGTGCTTATAGAGGATGTACAGCAACTTTATTAGAGGTGAAAGAAGAAGAATTTAACGTTTCAATTGAAATAGCAAAGGGTCCATTGAAAGGAAGAGTTATCACAAACGTGCAATATGAAGATATTAGCAAATTAGTAACATAAAAATCATAAAATCAAACTAACAAATGAATATACATGTCTATACATTTTATACACGTTAACCTTTCGATACTTTTTTGTTTCCGCAAACTTTTCAGCTTCACGAATTATAAAATTTTTTGTACTTGTTTCAGGCGACTTGTAATATGTGTTATGTTACATATCTTACTTCAGTCAAATGTTTAAGTCAATTTCAAACAAGAACTTTAATTTTACATGCAAGAACTTTAAGATACATGCAATGTCGTTTTCTAATAATTTTTCAAACTATTTAAAGTAAGACTAACTATATAACTATTGGGTTTCGTTAGAATAAAGTGCATATATAATTGTGACAGTCGAAGTTATACATATCTCAAGAAATTGCTAATTTTCCTTTTGATCCTTTTTAAGAACTATGAGGTATTTAACTGGGTATTTGAAAAATGCTTAAACAGAAATATACATATATATATATATGTATATATATACATATCTATTTTGACAGGTAATCCAAAAAAATGGGATTTGGCAAAGTTATTGCATATGCACATACTATTAAGAAAACTAAAATTGCTCAAGTAATAAAATAAATTACAAGTTGAGGAAAATTTACTATAATTGAGCACGAAATATTCAAATTCATCTATGATGTATATAAAGATTTTAAATTGATATTTGTTGCAATAAACCTAAATTATTGGCCCTTATTATGAAAAACAAATATATTTCTGATATTTATTATAGTGTTTTATTATGAAAATTATTTATGGGCAATCGGCATAATATCGGACGATTTATCGTACGACTTATCATAAGTATTTCAAAAAAGCTTTTTTTCTTATACATTTGAATGTAAACTAACGTTTATGAAAAAAATATTTTTGGGATTTCCCGATCGATTTTATCGGGTAATTTTTAGTAATGTCTTTATATATGTATGTATAATAAGCCCCAGTGCTAAGAGAGAAACTTGAAGGCACAACCATATTGAGGAGTTTTTTTAAATCGAAATGGCTATTTTTTAAAAAAAAAAAATAAAATAAATTCATATTTTTTATAAAGCAGATAATATTCCGAAAATATATTTAAAAAATCAATTAAATATAATAAAATTATAATTCGCAATTACTTTAAGATTCTTCAAATACATGCAAAAAAGCGAAAAAACTACAAGCACAACATTTGCCTTCAACATTTTATTCGGTACTAAAAGCTAGAGGTGGAGAACTATCCATGGCACTATCAATAGTATCGATAGTTTTCAACTATAAAAAATGGTTTTCATTTTCATGAATTCCATAACATTATTTTCAAACGTATCGAATATATATTCAAATTTCACTGATTTAATATACATTCAAATTTCACTAATTAGACCATTGAAAATTAAAAATTACTTCTTTCAATTTCTATGTTCTTTTATTTTATTCTAAATAGTTCGTGAAAACGTGAAGTGAAGCTGGCATTGAGTTTCATTGTATTTTTAATATGCTTTCTTTAGAATGAACAAAAGAAAAAACTACATACATACATATGTCAAAGTTGAAGTTTAACACACAATATGCAGTTTGAATACCGAATTTAACTGAGCGCTTACATAAGCGAGTTATTGGCATAAATGTTTCAATGTTCAATACAGCTTGCCAATTCATTGGCAACCAACGAAAAATATTTTTTGTTTAAGTGGACGACAAATTCAAAAAGTTTAAAACAACAAACGATTTTTCATCGATAAAATAAAGAATGAAAACTTAACAAAAGAAAAATATTTATTAAATAATAAAAATATTTAAAGTTAATATTATGCACATTACAACTATATAAGTCTAAATATAGTTGATATGTTTCAAATAATATTACATATATACTTGTTTTATGCATTCCACATCTGGTTATAATCACACTTTCATGTATATACCACTATTATATGCATCTTCACAAATAGAATGGAGAACACGGGTTGCCTTATACTATACAGCAAGTTGCGTTACGTAACTATCAATATATCACGATAGTTTTGCAGCGATATATCGAAAAGTTCCCCAACACTACTGAAAGCATTTCATTATTTTTAAGTGAACAGCTTTTTTTTCTCATAGGGTAAGTTAACTCAATATATGGGAGTGACTGTAGTGTCAAGTTGAAAATGTAATTTATGAAAAGATAATTATTAAATATTGATATGAAAACATAGTAACGACTCAAAAATTCAAAACGGATAATGATGAAAACGGTACTTATGTAATTTTTTTTTTTATTTTTAAATTTTTTTTTTTAATAAAATGCAATACAAATACAAATAAAATTGATCGATTCACGTCACATGCGCCTATTGCCTAATCAAAGTATATCTACTAATAAGTAGTTCGACTCTCCGTTTACATCACAATAATGCAATCACTCATCCCTTAGTTAAAAGAATTAAGTAGTATACCTTCTTATTTTCATTTTTATACACATAAGAATTTTTGGGAGAGGGGAAGAGTACGCAATAGATGTCTACCTGTTTTTTTATAATGCATTTTTTTTAAAAGCGGGAGTTATTTATTTTTTCCTATATAAAGTACAGGAAAAAATATTAAGAATTTTAAAGGCGGGAGTTTTATTTTTGTTACTTATTCCAGTACAAGGTGGCAAAAAAGGTGTATTCATATTATAAAGGCGAAACGGAAAAAAATGTTTAAAAAAATTATTATGATTTATATAATATAATTTTGAAAAATACTAAAAAAAAATTTAAATAGAGTCGAATTACTTATTAGTAGATACTTTTGTGTGTATAAAATTTAATTTATTTTACTTCTTATTTACGAATATTGCACATATTATGTTTTTATATTATTACATACTCCGTTCATTTTTATGAGTATTGTTAATGTCTTTACATCTAACAAGTCCCAATAAAGTAACGAAATATTACGAATTTTTGGCTTCGTTCCTGTTTTTTTCTTTAAATGCTACTGGTCGCATCATATTTCTTATTATTTTTTTTTTTTTTTACTTAAAAAAGAGTTTAATATTTTAAAAAATCTCAGGATATTATACACATTTTGAAAAGCTTCCCATTTAAATTTTATTGCACGAAAAAGAAAGAAAGGTAGGAGGAAAAAAAAAATGAAAAAAATTTGAAATTCATATTTCAGTATGGTTTCAAATATTAATGAGGAAGGATGTATGATTTTTCATGCACATTTTGTATTTCCCAATTGAGTAGTGTCGGCTAACAAAAATGTTAGTTAAAGTAATATAGGTTGACACATTTCAACAATTTGAATTATCTCATTTCGGTTATTTATACGTTACTTATAAAATTGTTTCAAATAATTTCAGTTAGTTTTTAAGTTATTAAAAATAAATATGTATGTACCTACTTCCAATCAATTTTTTTTTTAAATAATTATTTTAAAACTATTTCAAACATGTTATATTGAGTGCTTCAAAAATTTTGTTGTGCTCTTCTTTCATATTTTATTAGCAGGTAAACAAGAGCAATCTATTTATAAAATGGCCCTGCCTGTGTATGAATCTTACGCAACGGACAAAAATTTACATCAGTGCCTACTACCTGTCATTTTACAATCGGAGTTTTTGAGTCATTTGCTAAGATAATATTTATTTCAAAAATAAAAAAGATATTCGAATCCGGTCATAAAAATATATTATTGTCTTTTCCAAAACCTTTTAAATATTTTTTTACTTAGGTAATTTTTCTCAAAAATAGAGGTAAAATTTAGAAGTGTATATAAAATTTGTATTTAAAAAATAATATTTGATTGTATTTTAGATATTATTTTCTAATTCTCTCTTCAAATTTTTTCTTTACTATGTATTTATATCAATATTCAATAATTATTTTTCATTAATTATATTTTCAACTTGACACTAAAGTTACATCCCATATCTTGAGTTAACTTACCCTATGAAAAAAAAAGCTGTTCACTTAAAAATAATGAAATGCGTTCAGTAACATATAAAACGTTGAAGGCAAAGGTTGTGCTTGTTGTTTTTCCGCTCTTTCAAGAATTTTAAAATAATTATGAATGAAAATATTAATATATTTTTTTAATATTTCAAATATATTTTCTAAATTTTACCTGCTTTATAATAAGTGTGAATTTATTTTAATATTTCTTCTCAAAAAATAGCCACTTCGATTTAAAAAAAACCCATATAAAATAAGGTCGTGCTTTCAAGTTTCTCTCTGAGCATTGGGACTTGTTAAATATAAAGACATTAGTATTGCATTTAGTATATCGTTCAATTTTATTTGTATTGTGTAATATTAATACAGAAAGAAATAAGGAAAAATATAAAATGTACGTCAATAACCAATGCATATGCAGTAATTTTTTTTAACAACTAAAAAAGAAACTGTGACTTCAATATTGCGCTTAGAACGTTAACTTTATAAAGTATCACGTTCCAAAAAGTTTAGTTAAAGCACTTGACAATGTACACTTTTCGCAAATGCGTTCTATACGTCGTGGATACGTAAAATAAAAGTAAATCGGGTATCGAAAAAATCGAGCACGCTTTTCTTATACATTCATATAAATGTTGCCAGAAATAACCAATTAAATAAACTATTATATATTTTCAGCAATAAAATGCTAGTTATTAAGATTTTTTCTAAAATGCAACATAAAAATGTAATGTTTTTAATGATGTGGTAACGTTTGGCGAAAATTAACATTTGTACAGAACTTTAAGTTGAAATTTTCAAACAAACTTCAATGTTTTTTTACAATACTGTTTTTGTGTAAGCAGTTTTTTTTTGCAATACTGCACTTAAACTTTTAATAACGCATTATTGAAGTCACGGAAAATTTTAATTCTTAGTGAACGATGAACGATTCATTTTTGAAGAAGTCATCTAATGAGCTAAAATTTAAAATTAGTTCGTTCGTGATCGATACATGACTACTTTCAGTATCATATAAAATGTTGAAGGTTGTGTCTATCCGCTTTTTTGTATGTGTTTTAAGAATTTTAAAATAATTGTGAATGAAAATATTAAAATATTTAATTGATTTTTTAAATATATTTTTAGAATTTTACCTGCTTTATAATAAGTGTGAATTAATTTTAATATTTCTGAAAACTTGGGACTTGTTAGATATAAAGGTATTACTCCTACTTTTTTTTCCTTTTCGTTCAATAGAATTTAAATGGGAAGCTTTTTAAAAAATGTGTATAATATCCTGAGATTTTGTGAAATATTAAATATTAAACTCCTTTTTACGTAAAAAAGAAGAAAAATATAAGAATTAAGAAATTTGACACGATCAGTGGAAAATTGGAAAAAATTGAGTATTGGAACGTGTTAGATACCGTGACTTCAATAATGCTTTAAAAAAGATTTAAGTACGGTATTAATACGGTTGTAGTACCGTCTCAGAGCTTTCAATACCTTTACATTGTAAAAAAATTACTAAAGCTTTTCGTACATTTTGGAATACAATTTTTACCATATCAATACAACTTTGACGTTTATTTGAAAATTTCAATTTAAAGATCTGTTCAAATGTTAATTTTTATAAAACGTTACCACATCATTAAAAACATAGCAATTTTATGCTGCAATTTAGGAAAAAAAAATTGATAACTAAAACTTTATTGCTGAAAATATATGCTAGTTTATTTTATCGGTTATTTATATGACAAGGTATAAGAAAAGCGTGATAGATTTTTTCGACACCCAATTCACAGAATCAATTACAGGAACAGAATTATCAGTACTAACTCTCAATTAAATAGGATAACTGAAATAATGGAACAGAATTTAGATATCGCAAGAAATGCTTGTTCAAAAACTTGTGCCGACCAAAATTTCCAATGAATTAAATAGTATAGGACCTCCTGCAAGAGATCTCTAATCCTTCTTCGTGTGATCCTTACTTCTTGATGCAGTTCTTCTTCGTCTTCAAAAAAAATTCAGCTATATTATTGCTTATAAGATTGTATTATTTTTCAGCTTATAACATTGTATTATTTTATTTTATTTAAAACAAAACTTGTCTATGTCGAACTTTTTCTTCATTTTTTCATATGTATGAGTTCATATGAATATAAAGTCTTTGAAATTGTCAAACACATCAATAAACCTTTTTTTATTTTATCGTTTTGCTTTAATTTATCGGTTTTATCGGTTATCGGTTCATAATACTACGACATAACGATAACGATACGATACGACATTTCTATCACATATCGTATATCGAATTTTTCTCAATAAGGGCCATTATATAGTGGTTCCTATTAGTTTTATCAGATATCTTGATCATTAGCACTTTGTCATATAAATTACAGGCAAAAATAAAAGTGTATTTGTCATATATATGAAATTTTCTCAGTAAATACTTTAAATGCATAAATAAAATCAATATTCTGAAATTGCATACCATCAAAATTATTAGCACCATTCCTTTTCAAAAATTCTTGTTATAAAAAAACTAATTAAAACAATTTTAAAAATTTTGACTTAAAAACGTTTTTATTGGAACATTACTTTTTCATGTTTGTTATAAAAAGATATTTAAAGCTTCTGTCTTAAATTAAAACTTACTTTATTTTATAATTTTTTATTCATTTTACGTATCCTTTATTTCTAAGAAAAAAATATTTAATATAAGTATTATCTAGATAAAAAACTATATTATAATTTTTAGTTATTTTTTAGCTATATATAACTTAAAAAATATGGTTTTAATAATCTATATATATAAATTACTTGTTATTGTGGCAAATTATATTTATCAAGAAAAGTACATATAGGCATATAATATACACATATGTATATATGCATATATATATCATCATATCGTATATGTATATGCTGCAGAAGTTATGAAAACTAATTCTTTACATATTTCAAATAAAATAGGAAAATAAATGTTTCTTTTCAAATGCAAAACTAAATAAAATTGTTTTTATTTCTATTTTATAATTCCATTGCATTTAACTATTTTCAAGCAAAAAAATGTTTTTCAGTTATTTGTATAAATATATTTTGTACAATATTTAAGTTTTGTTTTACATAGTAGAAAAAAATATACATGTATTGACAGATTTAAAAATTAAAAATACCTAAGGATTATTGTACTTTAATTTATTTTCAAGACCTACCAAGTGATTGATTTTTGTTTAGTCTGAAACCAATTACATAAATAGACATTATTTTAACTTTTTCTTCTTAATAAAATCAAAATGACCAAGCAAAAGAAAATGTTAATGCTTTAATTTTTAAGTCTTTTATCACTTATTTCTTTTAATATTTTCTTGGATTAAACCATTATCACATTATTGGAATTTATTACATTATTATGTTTTTGAGTCATTCTTTCCAAGGTTTACTTACTTATTATTGCACATATTTTTATTTATAATTTTCCTATTCGTTTTTTAAGTTATTAATAATTTATTATTTTTTATTGTAATTGAACGGTTACTTTGACTGCACATTGATAACAATAAAGGCAGCAATTTTCAATATTAAGAATATTATTACTAAAATTTTATGTTTGAATAATTCTAGGCAAGTTTTAAGTCAAAAGTTTGATTAGGATTTCTGCAGACCACAAAATTTTAAATATTTTAGAAAAATTTTAATGTTCAGTTTCAAATTGTGAAAAAAATATTAAAGTCATTGAAGCAAATCAAATCGTCGAATGATCTTGGCAAAATCAAATACAATACGACTAGCTTGTAGTTTTTGTTTAAATTAATTGTAGCACAGCAAAATTTAAAATACGGTTCTATTTACATTTCTTTATAGAATGTAAATTGGCATTATAACATACATATGTCATTTATTCCCCATATAAATTGAAAATTTGGTTATTAATATCGAAAATGTTTTTTGTTAAAACAGAGATTCCGTTTATTATATTTTTTATTTTATTTTCAAAATTGTTTATTATATTTTGCTTAAAATATACATACATAGTATTGAACTTTTTTTTTGTTTGTTTCTAACAAATATCTTTAAAATTAAGTTTTTTGGAAAACATCACTATTTTTTTAAACAAACCGATACTAATAAAAACTGTTATAAACTAATAGAAATTATTATAATATATGTATGTAGCTCATCCGACGGTTTGGAAAAACTTTTATTAATTCAATAATTTTAAAATATGTAACATGAAAACTAACAAGATTTGACATACAAATATTATTTCGATAAAAACATTGACAATTTTTGTTCAAACTATTTTGATTGTTACTTTAAATATATCCACATATACTCATCATATAAAATGAAAACTACCACTTTCTATTTATTGCAACATTGTATTTATCCGATATAATATATGCGTATAAAGTACCTATAATAAAGAGTGGTTTAACTACTAACCCACTTAGAACTTGTCCTATTGAGTTTATTTACAAGCGTTTTTAATTCCTATTTAACCTTTTTTTTATAAAAGCAATCTAGGAAACTTTCACGGAAAAATTTTCATTTTAAAGCATATATATTAGCTATTAAAATATGTATTTTAAATAAATTTTAAAAAATTCTACGGTAAAATTAAAAAAAATATGTAAATAAATAAATTTTTACTGATGTTATACTGATTTATGTTCTGATAGACTAATTTTTTTGGTTATTGACGATTTACATACTATATACATACTACATAAATAAATGGAATATATAATTCGGTTTATATTTTTAGAAATAGAAATAAATTTATTATTACGTTTTTCTATATGGCAACTTTGATATTACTTATTTTCGTATTATAAAGTAAGAATTTTTTAACTGTTGAATTTCTAATCATGAAAATCTTTATGAAATAATTGTTTATTTGCTTGCTTCTTCTTTTTGCATGTTTTAATCATAAATAGAGTTTTTATTTTTTTCATTTAATAATTTTTAATTATTAATCTTGTTGCTGGAATTGAATAAGATTTTTTCGAGGTATATCTAAAAAACGTTTTGTTATGTATATATTTGAAAAATAATTAGAATGCTTAATATGGTGCATATAAAACATATCATTACGGGCAAAATCACTATAAATCGCAGCGATCTGGTAAGAGAAATTAAATACAGATAAATTAACGAAATATTATATATTTTGAAACATGCATCTAAATTAATATAATTTTACCTCCAATGCCCGGAAGCTGTATGTCAGAGATTCAAATCAACATCTTGCTCATTCATATCCAAAGAATTCGCATTACTGCTAAATATTTGTTGAGAATCCCCAGATTCGTTATTACGTTTATCTTCTGCATTTGTTCGCCTAGACTTGTCTACATTGAAAAATAGTTTCATAAAAACTATGAGTTGGTGATGCATGAAGTGTTCCAATGAAAATGTACATATATGTCAATATTATGAAATTCAAGGATGTGCCAATCATTGTTATCAAATAAAAAAAAGGGAACCAATTCGAAAAAAATATTTGTTTAATAATTTTGAATTTCACAATAAAGACAAATTTCACAACTTTGGACTACATACTACTTTTTGAAACTTACTTCCAGAAAAACATAAACATCCTTCTTCATCACTTGGTGATTCACCTGAATCTTTTAGTTCCCGATTCATTTCATTTATGCAGCGCTGATAATAGTCATAATCTTTTAAATACCATACTGGTGGCCAACGATGCTCTCTTAAATATTCTTGATTATCAATATGTAATGCCTTAAGTCCTTTCAGCGAAAATTTACAAATAATATTGTAATTGACACATAAATAGGACATACACCACTCAGCTAATTGATGTGCATTATAAAGCTTTCAATAAGAAAATAATAAAAAAAAATTTAAAAAAAATTGAAAGAAATAGCCGTTAAAATCAATATGCTTACTTTAACTGGTTCTAATAATTTAAGGCAATGATTGACAGTTTCATTAGTTTCATTTTGTGATATTCTAGTGAGATCATCTATAACTCGGCATTCAACCAAATTAATTAAACGGGGCAAACATAATCTGTTTGCCAATTCTAATAAATTCAAACATTTTTCTGCGGATATTGATGGTATTTCATCTGTATATATATAACATAACAATTTGTGGAATGTATATGTAGTAACACCTGGAAATACAATCTAAAAGAAAATTAAATTAAACTTTTTTTAAATACGTACGTACAAAACATATTTTTGTATACACAAGTTATTATACTTACAATATTGGAATGGGCCTCTCTGAAATCTCCCATTAACATAGCTCTCATGACATCGCAGCGTGCAACTAAAATTGCTCTGTGCGCTTTCATACGTCCATCATCTAATTCAAAAGTTATATCACTAAAATTTCCTTGATTAATGCAAAACTTTTCTATTTTTTCCTTAATACTCTGTAAGAAAGTTTTTTATTCCATATTTATCATATTGCAAATCATAAATTATTAATAATGTAAATATGTATACATGTATATATATATATATGTAAACATATATATATATATATGTATATATTAATTTTAAACATATATGTACCATAGTGCTATTTGGTATTGATTCTTCAGATTGACTCAATACATTCTGCGGTTTAGATAGCAAAAGTGTTAATTGTGGCAGTTCTAAGAAATCAGCTGCTTGTTTAATTTCCTGGAAAACAGACAAAAGACCCATCTAGAAATTGAATTTTAATAAAAAATTTTTGATTAATTTCTTGAAATGAAAAGTTTTTTTTTGAGAAATAGAAAATTTAAAACAATTATCATTAAACAAAATGTGATACGTAATAATGTATGAAAACATGAGACTAAGATTTTAGCTAAAACTGCTAAATGTTTCTAAAAAAATATTGAGTTAATAGCTTATAACAAACATAATATTATACAAGATGTGTTACCGAGAATTATTTCAAATATAAATATTTCAACTTACAAAAGTTTGAGCAACAGTTGAGGACTTAAAATTAATAAAAAGCAAAAATACTTTATTAAGGTGTAGCAAAATTTTTTGAGTTAAATTATACATATAAGAGTACCTATTATTTATTTTTTTGTTGTTATTCTTTAAGGGTATCAAAAAATTGGAAACAGTTTGGAAAAAGTAAAGTAGAAAAAAGGACTAAACTTTCTTTTTTTTATATATACATATCTTATTTTTAAATATTTTATATTCGCATGAAATGGAAATATGTGATTAGCTCTTGTATTGTTATTTATGATAATATTATTAGTTGTATTATCTACGAATTTGAACTGTTAATTTAAGGATCTTTTTCGGTTAGCATATTTTTAAATTGTGCATATTTCACGACAGAAACTTGTTTCAAAATTAAAATAAAATTTTATAAGACAAGTAGTGTTCAAATTCAATGCAATAATTCTATAACAATATCAAAAAAGAATACCTTTGAATTAAATAGACATTTTTTTTTATTAATAATATAACTAATAGATGCAATTCTGTATTGAAATTTTTTCGTCAAAATTAATCTTTAAAAATTTATAGATACAAAAAAGAAACAAAATCTGACATTAAGTTTTGCTCCAGAAGCAAATTAAACCATTTTTAGTTTGCATGAAAATATGTTCACTAACAACAACTAAGGAAAAATGGAAAAACATTTTAATTTACATTTATTTTTAACTCTAAAAGGGACAAATTAATTCAAGCTCAAAATTTAGAATTTCCTTTTGTATTTTTAGTTTTTATGTACATACATATGTATATAATGAGTGTATTTTCTATAAGAATTTTTTGTAATTGAAATAAATTATAAAAGAAATGTCTTTGTTAGTAACAAAAATAAAAATATAAAACGGTATAAAACAAAAAAATTTCTAATACACTTAACATTCTTAGAAAATAATGAAGTAAATTTAAATGACAGAGAATATTATTTGATTATTTGGCCTATTTTAAAGTTATAACACTGCTCTTATTATAGCGAGTAAGTTATGAAAACAAAACGTGTATAAAAAAATTATATATAAAATATATTATGTATAAAAAAAATTGAATAAATGAAAACAAAATGAAATAATTATACTGTGAAAAAAATATTCATTATTGAAAAATTAAGAGTTAATATTCAGCGGTGATTAAAATTTACAACATAACATTAAATGACAATGGTGCTTTCAAAAAATATATGTACATACATCATAAGGAAAAAAGAAAATTAAACCTACATAGTTTTGATTGAAATGGGTATGAAAATGTCACATGTTTTTACTATTATAATAATAAAAAATGAAGCATTTTTAAGCTTAATTTCTAATAGCTAATATTTCATATACTTTAAACAATAGATTGTGCTAAAAATTTAAATGAATTGAATAATTAAAATAAAAAACTTGAAATAATTCTAGAATAAAAAAATAAATTTTATTATCTACTACAATAAATACCTCATCTAAGACTTTTCCCATTTTGCAAAATGTTTAAAAATTTAGGAAAATCTTTTTTTTTTTAGTTTCTAAAATCTCATTGAAAATTAAATATGGCTTTGTAATGCTCACAAATTAAGATTAACATTACATTTATATTTTTCTCTAATATAAGAATTTCGATGTTTTAATAATAATTATCAATTTACATCAATTGTTATAACATAATGATTTGTTATTCGAAATTTATGACAGAGAATATTTTTGTTTTAAATTTTATAGTTATATATAAAGTTATTATGGTAATCTAAATGGATATGTTAAACAAATAATTGTTCATATACCATTTTGCATTTTTAAAAAAAGATTTTTTAATTGACAACTTGATTGTTCATAAACGGTCGTAGTTTTGTAGCCTTTTTCATCGAAGAATACCTTACATATGTAGGTAATTTTAAAAATAATGAAATAAGTCTTCGATTCAAAACAAATGGTATTAAAACTTCTTTACAAAGATGTTTGTAATTAAAAATTATTCCCCAAAATAAATTTAAAAAACAAAATGGGAGTACGCATTCATAATCGTATATACTTTTTTTCTTGTGAATCGTAAAATTTTTAAAATTATTCATAATTTATAATTAAAAAGCTACAAGCAGCTTCGTAAAACCGGATCTACATACACTATATATTGAAGAAATATATTATGTATGTTAAAAGCACATATATTGAAGAAATTCATTTGAAACATATTACATCAAACAGATATCTTCAAGTTTTGTTAAACTTTCACTGCTTCTAAATAACAGTAAACAATTGTAAAAAAATTTCGAAGACAATTTTCTTTTTTTCTTTATTGACATTAAAAATTTTAATTTTGAATACTAATTATTAATATTCTTTATTTATTAAATACTTTGGCGTTATATTTCCGAAGTGTGTACCCTTATATATATCTAACACATACGCGCCATCAAGATACACATTTATATGTTCATTTTTAAACGATAATGTCAAGTTGTCATATAATAATACATTGTTGTTATGTCGATAGCAAGTTATCATAAGTTTAGATTTTGTACTTTTAATCAGTCAGCGGTTACATTTCATGAATGTGCAAATACATTCAAAACTTCGTTATTTTAGAGTTGTTTAGTACAGTAGAACTCGCTTAAAACTACACAAGCTTTTTTTTCATCGAATAAGTTTTAAGAGTAAACTACCCCGAGTCACACGACTTAGATAGAAATAATCTATTGAAAAATGCATATGTTGCTATTTGCTGATGGTAAAAACAAGCATTGGAAGTATATATGCTGCATATTTCTCTTAAAACAAAAAAATCAAATGAAAGTTCAATTTTTGTGGAATGAAATTGGATGAAATTCTATATGTGTAGAAAAAAAGATCGAAGAGTTGAATGTTTTGGTAGAATGGAAGCATACAGTCAATCACGTCATAAAAAATATTGGCTTATTCATAACCAATATAAAATTTACCATTGTTTCTTGAAGTTTAAGTTTTACATAATATCTTCAAACATAAATTTAGCAACCCATCATTTAAAAAAAAATAAAAAACTAAACAGTATGACTTTGAAAAAATTGTATTGATTTACATTATTTAGTAACATCTTAGTCTCCTTAAAGCAAAGCAATTTAAAAAATTTCTCTAATTTTGCCATGTTTCTCCAATCTGTTCCCCCGCATGTCAAATATTTGACAACCATGTCTGAAATTTTAATTGACATTTTAAAAACTTATTAAAAGAGAAAATTTAAAGTCTTAAAATTAAAATGTTTTTTGTCATTCATTTTATCACATATAAAAATCATTTATGCATCTACCTTTAAAATGCAAAAAAAAAACTAAAATTCAGTTATTTTGGCAACGTATATTGGAATTCATGACAAGCATCAGTTGCGCGCATTTGGTACACTGGGAAACGATCACTCTCCATGTTCTTCTTTCAAGATAACTGTTTCCAAATTCTTGCAAGACTACACGATTTATTTTTTGAAATCAGAATTCGAATTTCCTTTTTTTTAATAAAAACAATGTAAATACAATTAAAGATTTTGAGTAAACTCTTGAAGGTAAGATATGCTATAATAAATTATTATCAACCAAATATGAAAAGATTTTCAGTTGAATTTTATTAGAACTTATTTTACACGAGCTCGACTGTACTATTAACATATCTAAAATATGGATAAATTAATGATTTAATTGAAATTTTCGATCTTAATAAATTCATAAGCCCCAATTTCATTCCTGAATATAAAGGAGATAATTTTTACTATTTTATAAACTTATGGTAAGTATAATAAGTTATGTCGTCTTATTTTTAGACATACATATGTACATGTATAATTTTTAAAAACATACGTTTAGAAAGTTATAATACTGCATCTAGTAAATATTTTGATAATAAATAGCAACAGATACTTACCAATAAAAAGCCAATAGGGGTTGTCTGCAAATATTAAGAAAATATTCAATCATAAATATTGCTATATAAATGAACTTTTTACCTGAAGTTGGGAAAACTCGTTCTCAATACTTCCAGTATATATAAATTTCAAACATTGGTGCATTGCTTGTGGTGTTATAATTTTTGAAATCGTAACGACAACTTGAGTCGTCGTTGTTCCACGTCCAGTTTCAACATGTACTATTCGAATATTTTGAAATATTGGATGATTTAGGTCTTTATAAACGTCAGCTGGCCTTTTCGATTCTATCAACGGTAGTGCTTGATAACTGGAACGTCGTTTTAACTGTTCCCACATTCTAAAATTTAGTTTTCCCTCAGCCAATGAAACAAATTAAAGAAAAGCAAAAATATTTTACCTAGCTGATTTTGATTCACTACGGATCAGATACTCAGTATCATCGTTAAAATCGGCAGTTGTTGCTTCACCAAATGTTGAGGAAACCTTGATATTACATACATATTTTTAACAATGCTTTCAATAAAATTTTCCATAGAATAGTTTACCATGCTTGATTCACTGCTACTTCTACCACCCAAGTCAGATAATTCAGTTGTTAATAATCTATTAAAAATTGGTGAATTAGCCGCTAGAAGAAATTTGTGAGCAGCGAATTTTGTTGAACCAACAATCAATATTAAATCTGTGTAGCATTGGGATAAAAACATATTATACATATCTTTTCTGTATGTTCCAGGCATAACAATTATTTCTGGTGGTGGAGGTTTAGGAGGTCTAAAAGGTGCCTAGAAAAATATTTCAATTAGCATTCGATTAAGATATAAGTCAACTTTATGTTTTTAGGATAAATTTACCTGTAATTGGGGTTTCTGAACTTTTTTTAAATTTGTCATCCAAAATCGTTGCTGCCGCCTTGCTATTAAAGCAGCCCTTATTGCATTTTCAAATACTTCATTAACCCCGAAGTATGTGAATACACTAGTTTCATAATACGGTATACCTAATTCCTTAGCTACAGCCCGTGCTTCATCAGGCATTACTAAATCACTTTTAATAGCAGCGCTACAAAAATTTTTGTTTATATTTTTTTTTAAATTACTTACACAATACTATCAAATTAGAGATTTAGTCTTCTTTAAGCAAATTTACCGTACAAATGGGCTCCTCTCCCCAAAATATGACAAATATGTTTCATCGCGATACATGTAACGTAAATCATTTTTGCATCCGACTAATATTACAGGAGTGTCCGGACAAAATCTGCGAATTTCGGGATACCACATTAACTTGCAATTTCTTAATGATGTTGGACTAGCAATAGAAAAACAAAGAAGAACGACGTCTGACCTATTGATGTTTAGAAAAAAAAAAATTGGAAATACTTTTTCTCTTCAAAAACTATATATATATGTATACCTTCCATAAGCAAATCTTCTATCTTTATCGTGATCTCCAAATGTATCCCACAATCTTAAAGAAACATTTACACCATCTACGATTTCCCATGATCTCTCTAATACCTGAAATTTTGAAATAATTGTTTAAAAGTGTCTCAGTTGGTAAAATTTGAATTAATAGTCACATCTTGATAAATTCGATATTGATCTATTGCCCAGACAGTAGGCACATGTGTGGATAAAAGCTGTGACAACGATACATGTTTATTGCAGGCTCTAGCACAAATTAGACGAGTTTTACCCACTGCAGTATCTCCTACTAAAGTACATTTGACTAGCTCTTGGTGTGGCTGCTCATTATCCATATTGAATATAAATTAACTAAAGTAAAAGTAAAATAATTAATTGTACTCGTTAAAATTTTTAAATTTCTTATAGTGTAGTACGCAAATCAATGTTGTGAAACAACTTTTTCTTTAATTAAACACGCCTTCATTTATAACCACACAATTTGTTATGAAATATAAGTATAAATACATATTTAAAATCAATCGCTTTATTTAAATGCTGAATTTTGCACATGTACTTACTTTTATTTCTATACATACATATATACAGATGCATTTATTAAGATGAATTTTATTGAAGATAAACAAACGCAAGTTTTACAAATAATACTTTGCTGACAAAGAAAAATTTGTGTTTACATTCATCTAAGTTCTATATTTTATGTAGTTAGTTAGGTAGGTATCTATGCTTCTGCTGTAATAAAAGGTAATTGACCTTTTATTGAAAAAAATTGTTTCCCTTATTAATTTTTAAAGCTAATATCTACTTCTTATTTTATTTAAATATAGAAATAGTAAAATAAAATACTCCTTTATTTTATTTCTTAGTAATAGGTTTTCCTTTACAATAGGTTAAATATCAGTATTGTTCTGTTTTGACCAAAAATATTTTATCCATTTTGCTACAATTCCTATACAGCAAAATTCTATAATTACCTGGAAAATTTGTAGATATGTACATAAGTATACATTTGTGTTTATTTTCCACAATGAAATAAAAATATAAAACAAAATTATTATTAGAACTAATTAAGTATATTGCAATTTTTTTCAAATTCTTATTTTGAAATGTATTCAACCCTAGTTCAAATATTCCTTGATTTCATTAATTATATGCATATTATTAAATTTTATTATATTCCATTTCGAAATTTATGGAAAATCAATACAAAAATTTCATTAAGTATCGAATTCCAAGAGATGCACAAAACTAAATTTCCGTTTCCTTTATTTTATTCCTCATTGAAAAAAACTTGATTTAATTTCATTTTAATTTTAAAATAAATATCGATTTAACAAGATGCAATTAAAAAACAAGTGATTCTGTGTACAAAGTTATGTACGACAGTAGTAAGTACATACATAGTTTTTCAATTCACTGCTAATAATGCGTAATTTATGATGTACCGAAATACCCTTTTTTGTTATTTTAGAAAAAAAAATTTATATTGAATAAATTTAAAATCAAGTTTATATTACCTTAAACAAAAGAAAATCAAACAAAAGAGATAAAACGACTGGATTATTATTTAAATACTTATTTAAAACCGAGTACGACAGTTCTTACTTTTTCCATTTTTTTATTTTTTGACAATAATTCTTAAATTAATTTCAGTGCAATATTGCCATATTTACTTTTAACGTGCTTTTTGGAGTCTTTCAACATCACGGCTACTTTAATCAATACAAATGAGTCTAAACTATACGAGTTAAAAGAAATTATTTTTAATCCTTCAACTTAGTTCATAAAATGATTTTACCTGTTGAGATTTCATATAAATATTATTAATTTTATAATGCGGAAAATGTTTTAATGAATAGATAGGAAAATGGCAGTTCATTTCGTGAGAAGCATTAAGTATGAATCATTCAAAATCCAATGAATATATGACAAAAAATTTATTTATTTTCTTTATTTAGTTAATATAATTATTTAATACAATCTCATTATTATTACTTTTTTTTTATTTTACAAAATTAATAACTAATTTATAATACTATATAAAAAAATTCTAAAATAAAAAAAGTCAACAGTTCATAAATCTTGTAAATTTCAAACAAAAAGATTTAAATTTCAAATAAAAAAGGTTTAAAATTCAATTTAACAAAACAATTATAAAAGATTAATAATTTACTAATAAGTTATAATGGTTTTTAACGTACAATGCAACTTCTCTTTTAAATTCGTTTATCTACTTCAAAGTTATTGAAAGATCGTTGTACATTTTAAGCCAAATGTACATTAACATATTCTGGGCGGTATTACTCTGTAGAAGGTTAAGACGAAAATAGGCTTTATTCCTTAAATTGTAGCCGTGATGCTCGCCTGCATATTTTTTTTCACATAAATAATTGAAATATAATTTATTTTTAATTTTGAAAACAATAAGCAACACATTTATTTTAGTTTTTTTCTCCACCATTAGCCATTTCAGCGTTTCAAGCATGAGGTTAATTGACGTATATCAAGGAACTTTTAGGATTATCCGCATCGCTTTGTCCTGCATTCTTTGAAGTCTACTCTTTAATTGTTTTGTGACCATAAAAAAATTGAAGAGCAATATCCAGATGTAGCTTAACTGTTATATTGCATATATGTGTGGCATTTGTTATTGTCAGTCTTTTTCTAATAATTCTAAAATAATTTAGCTTTTTCAAAATTTTTTTACATACATATGTATATAATCAATATGCCCAACTTAAGATTGTTGTCGAAAATGATACCTAAATATTTAATTTGATCAACTACTTCAATTTTCTCACCATCAATTTCAATTTTTTTTTTGATAAACATTTTTATCACCTTTCGTTTTGCCAATATTTAGTTTAAGCATGTTACTTTTAACCAATTACTTAGTTTAATTAAATTATAGTTTAGCCTTCTTTCACAATCTCGTACATCATTCCCAATTATATATAAAAGTGTATTATCTGCAAATAATGCCAATTTGGAATATTCAGTGACTTTTTCAATGTCATGCATATATAAACTAAATAGTAGCGTACCCAGGATTGACCCGTACGGTATTCCGAACATTATATCCGTTGAATTTGATACCGTATTATTTACCTTTATTTTTGTTTTCTATTAGTTAAGTAAGATTTAAACCAGTTGATTTCTACCCCACTAATGCCATACTTAATCAAGTTTTCTTTTAAAATATTGCAATCGATCGTTTCAAACGCTTTTTTTTAGCCTGGAAAAACTTTCATGATCACTTTTCATCTTTATCTAATGTAATTTTCCAGTTAGTTATCGCCAAATTTATTAAAGCTTCACAGCTGTGGGATTTTCTAAAACCAACAAAATATTATTTTTTTCTATAGGTATATTCTTCCAGTATCTTACAATTTTTTCAAGTATTTTAGTACTGCTTATTATATTTCAAAAAAGCTGTTTTACTATATATGTACATTCACAGTATCAAATTTTTGGTAATTGAAACCTCAATGGTCTCATGATCGATAACTTTCATATTTTTATTTGTCTTAGCCTTAAATTTAGAAGATTGATGAGAATTTAGAACAATTGATGTTTTTGATTCTTTGTTATTGTTGAGTATTCATTAAAAATTTGCTTGAATCCATTATATATTACTGCTCATTAAAAAGTTTCTTAGGCATATCGTTTTTTAACTAGTTCACATTGAAATCTCCAACAATTAAGTTTTTGACTTTGTCCGCTTAAAGTTCCTCGGTGATATATAAAAAATATTTCAAAAATTCTGAATTGATTGTTAGGTAACTTGACGGCCTGTATGTACATTTAATAAAGACACTTTTGATATTTGATGGTAACGTTAAAAATTTTACCGTTAACCTCCAGAATTTCATCAAACGACATCAAAATCTCAGAATTTTTCAATATAAATTATGACACCACCCGTATGTCTTAAAACTGAATCACATGTTTCCATATTATAATTTTTTAGTTCCACTAAGTTATCCTCGTCTCCATTAATTAAATGCGTTTCCGATATTTAAATAATTTAAAAATTTTCAATAAAGACACTTATTCTAATTCATTTCAATTATTTATTACTTCCTGTGCGTTAAGTGCACACCTTATCTGTGATTGCTAATATATTATTTTACTTCTTTCGAACTTCACCTTTCTCTGATACATTGGACAACCCATACTTCTTGCATTATGTTCTACTCTTAAATTTTATAGAACAAGTTTTTCTTTTGCTCTTAAACAGTTCAAATATTTTTCGGTTGCCACCTGAATTTCTCATGCGATATGCTCTTTTTCGCCATATTTGTAATAGCAATTTTCTTTGAATGCTGCACCATTGAGTTCAAGTATCGCGTTGAACACCATTTTATCTTTGTATGCTAATCTTTGTATCTAAATTTTATCTTTGTATAGTGTTACCGTTCACATTTTTACAATTTTTAAATCTTCAATCTCAAATGCATTTTGTTCTTTAATTGCTTGTTTGATTTCATATTCAGTTAATTCATCTTCAATTCCGTTCACCAACAGTCCTGGATTTCTAACACTTGGTATCATTACTTGGCCCATCTTCTTTTTTACTTCTACTTCCATTTCCTTCGCCGATTCTTTGTCGTAACAGTTAATTGATACCGCTTCATCACTTATCAGTTCAGTAATATCTCTTATTTTTGCTGCTAATTCTGCAGGTTTAATATTATTTTTCATAACGAATTAGAAATACTAATGGAAGGGGCATATTTGTTTCTGTCTCGCCTGCACTCCCTAAAAAATCATATCTTGAAAAAAAACATAGTGAACCCAAAAACTTCAGATAATTCTCCTACAAAAATTAATTCAAATTAAAGTATAAAAATATAAAAAGTAAACAAAGAACAGTTTGTTATATTGATTATGAAATTAGTGCAGTTTGGAACTAAAAAATTATAAAATATTTAATAATAAGTGTTAAAAAAAGAATACTATTTAATAAAAACTTAAAAAAATATAACAAGTGGAAAAAAGAAAAATCTTTTGAAAAAGAAAAAGTGTATAGTTCTAAATTGTTATTCCTATTTGTAAAAGCAAATAGTTTTTTAACCATATACATTACATGTGAATATTATTCATTTCAATAATTAAAAGAAACATTTATTCAACATTGCTTTGATTAATTCATAATTTGTAATTTTATTCAGTTTTTAATTTTGCAAAGAAAACATCTGTTTTTGTTTTAAATTAAAATTACTTCGAATGACATAATTTCACCAGTACCAGATTTTTTTAGTTTATGTTTGATAAAATACAGCATGCATACAATATTTTAATTTGGTCTTTTTTTATATACATATGTAATTACATATTTTTATATATTATTTTCTTACAAATATTTAACATGAAAAAATATTTTGAAATATTTTTTAATTGTTACTTTAAAAAATTTAACTTATCCTTCTTACAAATTATACATGTTTTATAGTAGAGGCCAAATAAGAAAATAATATAAATAATAATAATAATAAGCTCCTGTTGCGACTTTGACAATGCTTGGAACAAAGAAAGAAACAACTAGAAAAAATTTAGCTTCATTGTTTTTTCAAGATGCTCCATTCTTCAGTATTTCTAATTCGTTGATTTTTCAGCTTTTCTTTTTTTTAGCTTTTCTGAGTTTTTTTTTTTTGGTTTAACTATTATTGGCAGCATTGAATATTTGGCACATTGGCATGTGACATTTCATTACTGCTACTATCAGTTTGTTTACATTTTCTTTCACAAATTTTCTTCACTTTCCCAATAAGTTTATTATTTTCAATATTACATTTTACTCGTAATTCCTCGAAAAGTTTTTCACTGTAGCTTTTCAAACATTTAGAATATTCACTAAATTTTTTCAACTCACCTAAGCGTCTTTCAAATGTATTTTGCACAGTTATCAGTCCCTTTATTTCCGTTCCATATATCTTGCTTTAATAGCTTTCAGAATCTCCTTCAATTCGTTTTCATAAGTTTTTAGTGAATTTTTTAAATTGGTTCTTATATTCTTTCAAATAAGTATTCAGATTTACGTTATACTCCAAGTTTTTCATCCCATGTTCAATTTCGCGTACAAAATTAAATAATCACACATTATTCCTTACATTCTTGCGTTTACTTATATACTAGCACTATAATGATCAATTCCTGAGCATGCTTGATGATTATAGAAGGTCTTACCGCATACGCCTTCACATCTCATTCCTGTTTCTCCTCTTATAGCTCACTTACAATGGTTGCATTCCATTTTACATTAAATTACATTCCCAAAAAAGCGAAAGTATATTTTTTACATACATACATACATATGTATATACTGTAGCGGTATAAAAGTATCCTACTTAAATACCTTAATCTATTTTCAAGAAAATAGAATAACGACCAGAAAATCAATTACTTCAATGTATTCAATATTTTATTGATCTATTGACTAATTTCAATCCTATAATTATAAATTGATAATATTTATTTACAGCTAACACAAATACACAACAGGTCTATTAGACGACAGCCACTAATGATATATATAAAACAAAATAATATTATTTTGTTTTAACAATTAAACAAAAATAGAAAAATTTTTCTTTGGGTTAGTAGTTCAAACTACCACTTCAAAAAATTTGAATTCAAGAAAAAGTAGGAAATTTTATAACTACAAAGCTATGTATGATATATGTATGTATGTATGTAGCATGAATTTCTGTGGGATCAATACTCAAATACAAGAACCATTTATTCAGACCTGGAACAGTAAGGCTGTCGACTTTATTTTTTCTTTTTTTGAATTTTATTACTTAATTAAAACTTGGGGATTATCTGGAATAAATTCATTAACGTCAAAATTTTTAATGGGCCTTGTTATGAAAAAATCCGATGCACCGATTAAATATCCGATATTGTTATTATTTTATCGTAGCATTATGAACCGATAAAGCTGAATTCATTGGTCGTCGTTTTTGAGCTGAGCCATTTGTAGTTGAAGTATTTTTTCGCTTGATTGTTCGTCTGAAGAAAGGTGATCGTTTTTTTTATTATGATACATTTATTACTTTTTTGACAAGAAATTTATGTATGTAATTGGTAATGTCTTTTATTAATGTCTTTATATCTAACAAGTCCCAATCAGCGTTCCCACTTGGATACAATTGTATCCATTTGGATACATTTTTGCTTTAAAATTTAGCTTGGATACAAAGATACTCAAATCTGCTAAAATGTCGAAATTGGCTACATTTTAAAATTTTGCTGAAATATGGATACATTTCTTTCTCGAACACTAAATAAATGTTAGAAAACTTTTAAAGTGCTGTAACTTTTAAGTGCATTATCTTCCAAAAAATGTTATTTGCTGACTAAATAAAATTTGCCCGTTTTCGTGCTGAATAGTTTTTACCGCATAGTTCAACAGCTACAGAACATATATTTTCTGACCTTAAATTTTAAAATGTAATAGAAATTGCGTGTGATTTCTAAAAGAATTTACTATAAATAACGAAACTTACATTGTTGAAAGCAAATTAATATTATTTAAGAGTTTATTGGTATAAAATAAGGCGATTTAGTATAATAATTCTACTTTAGGAGGCTGGATACATTTTGGATACATTTTGTTCTTGAAATTGGATACATTTTGTTTTTATTGAGTGGGAACACTGGTCCCAATACTCAATTTTTTTTACGAAATATTATGAATTTTTGGCTTCGTTGCTGGTTTTTTCTTTAAATGCCACAGATCGTGTCATATTTTTTATTATTTTTTTCTTTTTTTTTATGTAAAAAAAAGTTTAATATTTTAAAAAATCTCAGGATATTATACACATTTTTTAAAAAGCTTCCCATTTAAATTCTACTGCACGAAAAAGAAAGAAAGGTAGGAGGAAAGAAAAAATGGAAAAAAAATTCAAATTCATATTTCAGTATGGTTTGAAATGTTAATGAGGAAGGATGTATGATTTTTTATGCACATTTTGTATTTCCCAATAAGGTAAGTTGAGTAGTGTCGGCTAACAAAAATGTTAGTAAAAGTAATATAGGTTGACACATTTCAACAATTTGAATTATCTTATTTCGGTTATTTATACGTTACTTATAAAATTGTTTCAAAAAATTTCAGTTAGTTTTTAAGTTATTAAAAATAAATATGTATGTATGTACCTACTTCCAATAAATTTTTTTTTAAATAATTATTTTAAAACTATTTCAAACATGTTATATTGAGTGCTTCAAAAATTTTGCTGTGCTGTTTTTTCATATTTTATTAGCAGGTAAACAAGAGCAATCTATTTATAAAATGTTCCTGCATGTGTATGTATGACCTATCTTAATTCTAAACGTAAAGAATATTACATAAAGAACAAAAATTTTAAAATACCTGTTATTTTACAATCGGAATTTTTGAGTCATTTGGTAAAATACCATTTATTTCAAAAATGAAAAAATATTCAAATCCGGTCATAAAAATATATGATTGTTTTTTCCAAACATTTTAATATTTTTTTTTCTTAGATATATGTAAATGATAGTAAGTTTTTAATATTTTTTCAAATAAAAATAGAGGTAAAATTTTGAAGTTTATATAAAATTTGTATTTAACAAATAATATTTGATTGTATTTTAGATATTATTTTCTAATTCCCTCTTCAAATTTTTTCTTTACTATGTATTTATATCAATATTTAAGAATTATCTTTCATTAATTATATTTTCAACTTGACACCACAGTTACTCCCCATATCTTGAGTTAACTTACCCTATGAGAAAAAAAAGCTGTTCACTTAAAAATAATGAAATGCTTTCAGTAACATATAAAACGTTGAAGGCGAAGGATGTGCTTGTTGTTTTTCCGCTTTTTTTATAATTTTAAAATAATTATCAATGAAAATATTAATATACTTTTTTGATTTTTCAAATATATTTTCTAAATTTTACCTGCTTTATAATAAGTGTGAATTTATTTTAATATTTCTTCTCAAAAAATAGCCACTTCGATTTAAAAAAAACCCATAAAATAAGGTCGTGCTTTCAAGTTTCTCTCTGAGCATTGGAACTTGTTAAATATAAAGACATTAGTAAAACTTATTGTTTTGAAAACAACATCTTACGACTGACGAAACTTTTTTCTTGGTTATGTTTATGTCCGGAGGTTTTATTTAAAAAAAAAAATTTCATCAATAATAACTTTTTTTTTCAAAACTTTTTAATTAAAAAGAAAAAAATAAACAAAATGAATTCACAAATGGTTTTTTTCTAAATTTCACAGTTTTTAATCCAAAATCAAAATTTTCAGTTTTTGGTATAACCTTGTCATTACAAAAATTATTTGTTTATGTTTGATAAATACTTTGAAATTTGACGTTTATCACACATTTATAAAAGTTTTTGCAAGTTTTCCGTCTGGCCTTTTTTTTCATTGCGAGGAATTTCGTCATTGTTTCTCTTTTTAAAGTTTTTCAAATTTTATCCCAGACCTATTATTAAGAGAAAAAAAATTGACCGTCCCATCTCGAGTGAAAACCAAAAAAGCAAAATATTTAATTTTTTAATAGAATAATTTTTCGATAAAAATACGCTACTTCAAAAAAATTTAGCGATTTCATATAATCATTAAACAATGAAGGTTTCCTCAATTTCAAAACACTCAAATCTCTCAATTTCTCTCAAATAATAGTCTCAATTTCAAAACACTATCAAAATAAATTTGTATGTAATCTTTATTTACAGCGTAACTTTTACATTTTTTTTAATTTGCATCAATGTTTTTTCCGTTTCTTAAAACAATATACATTGTTTATGTTAGAGCATTTGCGTATTGAAATTCTGGACTATTTTCGTACTCGCACATATCTAAAGCTATCTCACAACTTTCTTTAACAACTCTTTGATTATCTTTTAAATATCTGTTTAGAATATTTATGCAATCTTCAGTTGCAATAGCACCCAAAGCTTCAGCACATTCATGTCTGACCATCTCGTTTTCTTTAGGATTTTCAAGATTCTTTCGTAAATGCGGTATTGTACACTCTTTCTGTACTTGTCCTAAAACGAAAGCTACTTCATGTCTAAACAAAGCACTTGGGTCGTTTAAACCTTCAGCTATAGCGAGAGCGCTTTCTTCAGTGTTCAAATTTCTTAAACTAAACATAGCTCTGTACCTGTTGAATAAACTTTCGTTTTTGGAAATATACAGTTTTTTTAGTTCTGCTATATTTTGTGTTTGTGCTGGGGGTGATGGATCTACAGATTTATATGGATTATTATCTTTTAAAGAATCCGAAGGTATACTTTTCAAATACTTCACGCGATCTAAAGCTATTTCACATGTTTCGCGTACCTCAGTGCACTCATCTTCTAAATATTTTGTTAAAATTGGAATGACTTCATCTGTTCCAATAGCACCTAATGCCTCACCTAAAAATAAACTCACTGAAAAAAAAAAACAAAAATTAAGTTGTAATGAATTACCGGCTTCGTGTCTAACCATAGGCTCTTGTTTTACATCTTCCAAAATTTTGGTCAAAATTGGTATTGCACTTTTATCTTGCATCTACAATTTAAAAACGTCATTTATACAAAAAACAAATTGAGGCTGTTATATAAATATACTTGTCCAAGACAGTATGCAAGCTCATGCTTTAACAACGCTGAGTCATCTTTAAAACACTCAGCGATACAGTCGATTGCAACATTTCCCCCTAAATTCTTAAGAGTAAACAAAGCACGAAATCTTTTTTTAAGAGGAAGATCCTTGTTGTTCAACACATCCCCAATTTTCTTAATTTGTGATTCTTCAACACCCATTTTTGATATAATAATGAAAAAAAAATCAAGATATATGTAGACATATAATACGAAAACAAACAAATACTGAAATTTCACACACTTAACGTTTTTTATGAAAAAAATGTGGTATTTTTTTGACGTAATGAGTAATAATTATTTTTGTTTTGTTTTTAGTACACAGATATTCAGTTTTTATTCATACAGCGAAAACATGCTATGATCACGCGTTTTCAAAAGCGATCATATAGTATAATAAAGCAATTTTCGGCTTATAAAGTTATTTTTTATTGTGAGAAATTTATGATGATAAAATAGGCCCTCTATAGATTCAATAAGAATAGCTGTAAATTCGTCAGCTGTGAACTGTCACTGTCTCTTAGGGTTTCTTCTTTTCGATTTCGCCTAGATGATATTTGTTTCTTATTCAAAAATTATTTTCAGAGAAATGAAACTAGGAAAAATGGAAATTTTATGTGACTTTAAGCAATTTTTTAAACTTTTTTTTTATTTTGAGTTCATATTATTTTAAAACTTAATAGAAGCTATTGTTGAAAAGAGGTAAAACATTTCTAGTAAAGTAATTTTTAAATATCGATTATGAAGTAAATGTACTATAATATCTATGTAACATCTAGTGTATGTCATAAACCTATTTTTTTATGCTAAAACAAAAGTAGCGTTTGTAAAAATTTTTTATTAAAAAGCAAAAAAACTGGGAGCAGTTCGCAAAATTAATATTACTAATGGAAAGCAATCCAGATGTACCTCGTAGTGGGATCAAATTCCACATCAATAAAAATATATTGAAAGATATATTGGCGAACTTTGCCGTGGCTCTAAGCGCTTATATAACTTGAAAATTAGAGCTGTCGGAAATAAACATGTAAATTGTTTCATACTTGCTCAAAAAGGTATTACAATTCAAATTTCTTTTTGAATTCGATATCATTTTAACATATTTGTTTGTTTTTCTGTATTAATTACATATTAATTTACATTTTTATAAAAAAAACTAACACACCAAATAACAAGCAAAAGAAAACAAACTAATTATTTTTACTTCAAACTATTTTGCACGTCGACAAATTAAATTTCAATTACTAGCATCTCGAAAAAACAATAAAGACAAATTTTTTCTCGTTGTCTCTTTCTTCGCTCCGAGCATTGTCAAAAGCATAACAAAGTCATAACTCTATTATAAAATATGTGTAATCGTAAGAAGGATAAGGAAAATTTTTAAAATAAAAACTAAAAAATATTTCAGAATATTTTTTCATTTTAGATATCTATGAAAAAAAAAACATATTTAAATATTATTTTTTTTCTCTTTGAATAAATTTATTTTATAAATTGCAAATAACTATAAGTATTTTAATATCACAAAATATTATGACCGTCGAACATTAACATATTTTGTTAAAATTTCTTATAGTTATTATCAGTTTTATATGACAATTTTACGAAATAACTCTAAACAATATTAATTACAATAAATATAAATACATTTAAATTTTAATGACTCTAAATCAGTATAATTATTAACAAATTTTGATTAATATGATGGTTTATCACTCACTGAAGTAGATGGTATGTTGTTGTATTATTCCTTATTTATTAACTAACCCTCACATACTAATTCATTCTAAAACAAAATATTTTCACACATTCACACACAAATATTTTATATTACATACTGAATTCAACGGTATCGGAACGTCTTCATATATTTTTTTGGTGATCAAATCTTCTATAAAGGGAAATATATTTCATTTGATCATTTTTAGGAAAACTGTGATTATACAAACAAAAAGATCAATTTTTAAATATGTGTTTGTATGCTTTTGTAACAAACTCATGTTGCTTAAAAAATATTTAGTCCTGGTAAAATTATGTTATCCGAAGTACTTTTAATTTAAAACAAAACAGAAACAAATGTTTTTCTTTGAAAAATTAAAATCTTAATAAAATTACAAATTATGAATAAATATTTCTTATAATATTATTTAATTGAAATGAATAATATTTAAATAACAGGTTAAAACTGTACACCTTTTTAACAAATTTTTTTCCTTTTTTATTTTACTTGTTATAGTTTTTTATAAAATAATGTTCCTTTTTTAACACTTATTATTAAATAACAAAATCGTCTGTTTACTTTTTATACCAGCTTTTTTAAGAAAAAAAAAACAACATTTGGCATTTTTATGTTGATTTCAGTTTGACAATGCTTAGAGCAAAGAAAGAGACTTACTGAAGTTTTTATTTTATTTTCATTATGTTTTTTTTCAAGATACGATTTTTTCGGGACTGTAAGTGAGATAGAAACAAAGATGTTCTTTCTTTCAGTATAACTAATTAGTCGACTCACGTTTTCAATAGTGAATTGACTGAGTCAGAAATTTACTTTTTGCTTTATTATATGTCAAATATAATAAAGAAATTGAATGATTTTATTAATATTATGATGGCCTTAGGTATTGTTTGCATATACGACAAAATATAATAGTAAATCTACGGTAAAATCTGATACCTATCTACATATCAAACCATACGTCAAAATTTAAAATTTTCCTCGAAAATTATAATTTTAATTATAAGCTATAATTAAATTATAATTCCGAATTGATCGCTGCCAAAAACTTTTGTAAAAAAATCTGTTTTCGCCATTTTTTCTTTTAAGAAATCAGAAAGATACTTTATACTTTTCCTTCAGACAAAATATAATATCAAACATATGCGAATTTGTTTTTATATTAAATACTTCAGTATATAAATAAATAAAAATTTATATGCATGTGTATTATACTTAACTGACAACATAATGCGTCACAATGAATTTTAATTTATAAAATAAATTTGATTAAATATTCTATTATAAATTATATCTGATGTTATATTTTAATGTAAGTTTGATTAGTGAAATGAATTGTTCAACAGAACTTAAATATTACTTAATCTAAACAATTACAAGAAAATAACGCTTGGTGGCGTTATACACTTTTTTTGGTATATTTTGTGTTTCAAGCCGTTTAATTTTGACATTTAGTTACGGCTCTTGAACAATAAATTTATCAGCTTTAGAAAGTATTTTCTATTTCTGCGAAGGCTAAGTTATAATTCAGCTCGCTAGGTTATTGGGCGAGTTCTGTGCACTTGCAGAAATTTCAACTTTTTTTTTTAAATAAAGGAATCGAAATAAATTTTCTTTTTTAAATTATGAAATTTCAGTGCACTGAACGGAATTAAATTTTTAATTATATATAAATCATTTTAGTGAATTAAAAATAATTTACGTAATTATCAACGGCAAAAGTAAACTGTCTACACACACCTATCAACTTGAGATATTGAGTAAGCTCGTTTCGCCATATTTTGCCACGAGTTTTCTTTCTGAGACAATTTCAGTTTTTGGTCAAAGTTAAAAAAAATTTTGTAAATATTAATAAAAATTTAGGTGAAAATGTCGAACGAAGAAACTTCTGCTGATCGCAATGTCGAAATTTGGAAAATTAAAAAGCTTATTAAAAGTTTGGAAATGGCTCGAGGGTAAGTAAAACAAACGTGAAAAAATCATCTAATCTACGTACTTTATGACGAATGTGCGAAGTTTTTACCATATTTAAATTTCTAAAAAAAATTAATATAAAAATATTTATACATATATAAAAATACTGAATAATATAAAACTTTCGAAATATTTTTCATTATTTGCAAAAAATAGAATACATATGTATGTATAAGAAAATTCAACATGCTTTTTTTTGCCTGATATGCACTGTTTTCTGGCCTAATTAAATGTGGAAAAATTCCTAACCTAATAACGACACTCAAATTAAAATTTTAAATAAATTTCTAAAATTAAAAAGAAAAAATTTAAGAATTCAACCTATCTTTTTAATATAGAAGCTCTATATTCAAGGACAAAAAAAAACGCTGCATGCATATAAGTATGTATATTAAATGTAGGTGCTATGTATAAGCATTCGTGTTATATTAATGCAATATTGCACGATTAACTATTTTGAACTGTTTCCAACTGTTTTTATCTATAGTTTTTATTTAAGAAATATAATATACAAATGCTAATAGGTAAATATATTCGTTTTTTTTCCAATATTTTGTAAATTATACAACAAAGAAATGATAACGACATCAAAGTTTTAGAAATTATTTTCGAAAACAAGAATTTGTTTTTAGATGATAAAATGTGTATAGGTTTTGGGATCTATATTAAATTTCTTTACACTTAACAACCACTAATTATGGTGGTTTTTGGGTTTAATAAGAGTGAAAAGTTAAATCCTATTACATGTTAAATGTAGACGTAAATTTTATATTTGCCTAAAATATTTATATACAATTTTAATTTTTTTATTTTTAGTAACGGGACCAGTATGATTTCGTTAATTATTCCGCCAAAAGATCAAATATCACGAGTTAGTAAAATGTTGGCTGATGAATTTGGTACAGCGTCAAATATCAAATCACGAGTCAATCGCCTTTCAGTTTTAGGAGCTATTACGTCTGTCCAACATAGACTAAAATTATATACAAAAGGTATAACTTCTACCAATATACCTACCATTTGTGAAGTTTGTTTTAAAACCAGATTAAAAGAAAATTCAAACTTATTTTAGTGCCTCCTAATGGCTTAGTAATATATTGTGGGACAATTGTTACAGAAGAAGGGAAAGAAAAGAAAGTCAATATAGATTTTGAACCATTTAAACCAATTAATACATCCTTGTATTTATGTGACAATAAATTCCATACAGAAGCATTAACAGCACTATTAGCTGATGATAACAAATTTGGTTTTATTGTTATGGATGGTAACGGAGCTCTATTCGGGACATTGCAAGGCAACACGCGGGAGGTGCTTCATAAATTCACAGTTGATCTGCCTAAAAAGCACGGTCGTGGTGGTCAATCAGCTTTACGTTTTGCACGTCTGCGTATGGAAAAGCGTCACAATTATGTACGTAAAGTAGCTGAAGTTGCAACACAACTTTTTATAACAAACGATAAACCCAATATAGCTGGTCTTATTTTGGCTGGTAGTGCTGATTTTAAAACAGAATTAAGTCAGTCTGACATGTTTGATGCGGTAATTATTTAAAGATCTAATTTAAAAAGTCATACGATCATTTACAAAAATATTTTGTCAAATTTAAAAGTATTTGATTCGAAATCGGCTATTTTTATTAGATCTATTTTCTATATTCAAAGGTTCTTCAAAAATTTATGATTAAATTTTCCTCAGAGATTGCAAACCAAAATTATCAAACTAGTTGATGTTTCGTACGGTGGTGAAAATGGTTTCAATCAGGCAATTGAACTTGCAGCTGAGTCATTACAAAATGTTAAATTTATTCAAGAAAAAAAATTGATTGGGCGTTATTTTGATGAAATTTCACAAGATACGGGAAAGTATTGTTTCGGTGTTGAAGATACCTTAAGAGCATTAGAACTAGGGTCTGTTGAAACATTGATCTGTTGGGAAAACTTAGATATACAACGATATGTTCTCAAATCAGCTACGACTTCAACCACAGTATTACACTTGACTCCTGAGCAAGAAAAAGACAAATCACACTTTACTGATAAAGAAGTAAGAGTGAAAATTTTAGACTAATATAAAGTTAAACTGTGTTTATATTAAATTAAAGATATATTGTTATATAAATTATTAAACTAAAAATATATTGATGTTTGTTTTAGAGCGGAGTTGAAATGGAACTTGTGGAATCACAACCTCTTTTGGAGTGGCTTGCAAATAGTTATAAGAGTTTCGGTGCTACTCTTGAAATTATTACAGATAAATCTCAAGAAGGAAGTCAGTTTGTTAGAGGTTTTGGAGGAATCGGAGGTAATATATTTGAAATTTAAATATTACAATTAATTTTATTGCCAAGTAATAAGATTACCATTAGTTTTAAACAATGTTATTAGAATTAATATATTAATCCTAATGTCTTTAAATGCTGCCGTAATTTATTTGGAAACTGTCATACTTTTAATTAAAACTGAATCAAATAGGAATCTTACGCTATAAAGTAGATTTTCAATCTCTTCAAGCTGATGAACCATTGGATGACGTTGATTTAGATGATTATTAAAAAAGAAATTTCATCATTTCAATAAATTTTATATACCTACATTAATTTAAAAATATCTTTAAAAATAAGTAATGTTTTGTCACATTGTAATGATATAAAAACAAAAACTAGCCAAACCAAGATGCTAAGGTACTTTTTAGAAACATTTAGATTGCTGTGTTTATTTAATTTTGAGTTTAAACTTCATTTTTAAAATTATTTTTACCATAATATTTTATTTTCTTTTCTGCTTTTATTAAAAAAGTTTACTAGTTAAAAGGTATAAAAAATATAGTCTTGAAGTCGTAGTTTTTTTCATATATGTAATTAACATTAAAAACAATGAATTTTCTTGCTAGCGTATTACAAATTATTTTCTTTTAGCTTTTAGAACATGAAAGTTCTTAACCCTTTTGAAATTTTTTATTAAATTAGAACTCCATTAATTGAACTGTTACGTTTGTAAAACAAAAAACGTTTCTGTTAGAAATTAGATACTCCTGTAAAACTAGAAATATTTATAAAAATCTTTCTCAAAATTAAAAAAAAAATTTAGCATATGGCTTTATATTTTTGAAAAATAATATTTTAAAAGAACTTTTTTAATTTTTTTTTTTATTATACACTTGTAATTTGTAAAACAAATATGCAAACATATAAGACCATATGAAATATAATTGAGATATGAAATATCTTAAGATATTTTAAAAGTGCCACAGATATACAATAATGAATTTTATTTTAAATTTATAATTTTCACAAAGGATAATGCTACATTATTTAAAACAATTACATATATATTTCGTAATTTTGTTTTCACACATTTATGTGCATATTTTATTTATGTACATACTTTTTTTAAAACATATTAATATTAATAAAACTATAGATCAAATTTTAGACCAAGAAAATTTTGTAAAACGTAATAAATAGTACTTTTGTAATATATAGACTACAAAAAATGTTAGTTACTTTTTATTTAGGTATTATTATTTTGTTTAAAGATAAGAGCATTTAACTTTTTATTTTGATTTCTTAAATTTGAAAGTTTTATTTGAAAAAATATTTTGATTATTTAATTTTTATAATAATATATATGGCGTATTTATATATTTTTGAATATTTTTAGGTATTTTGCGTTATAAGGTAGATTTCCAAAGTATGCAACTAGATGATTTGGACAACGAGTGTTTTGACTTAGATGACTATTAGACAAATATATTGATGATTAATACCTCAGTAATTGCAAGATAAAAATATATAATTTAAAACAAATGAGCTAAAATTAGAGGAAAAAATTAAACTAAAAATCTAAAAAGATAGCAAATAAACGCAAACAAAAAAAAGATAACTAAAAGCATAACTAAATAAAAACTTTGCTGTTTCTTTTAATACAAAACAATGTAACAAGCAAAACTTAATTTAGTAAAAACGGTATAATAACTATTTCTGTAAATTTATGAAAACAAATAACAAAAAATGATCAATACGAGAAACATTTTCTCTGGTTACCTACAGAAAAACATGTATATTTTTATTTTATAAATTTGATGTCAAAATTTGGCTTTTGAAATTTAAAATGCAATTAAAAAAAACTAAAAATGATGAATCAAAATATTTAAATAATGAAATTAGCAAACAATAATATAACAATACGAAACATTTTTATTTAACTACACATCAAAATAATATTTTTTTTAGAAGTTTAAAAAAATTAAAATATGTTAAAAAAACATGTATTATTGATTAATTTTTGATGGTACAAACAAAAAATCATAGATCCTAAAACATATTACTCTTGAAAAATAAATTCTGGATATCCTTTTTTTCATTGTATGATATGTTTTCATGTAAAATACAAGCGTTATAAATACTTGAATGAAATTTAATCTAACAAATGAATTTTAAGGGTTTAGTTTACAAAAAATTAGAGTATGTAGTCGCTGGCAAATTAATCACGTACCCAAAGTGTAAACTGTCCGGTTGTATAAAGAAAAACAAGTTAGTAAATATTTGCAAATATCTGATGTAAACTAGTTTTTACTATAATAAAATTTTATAGTTAAAAATTTTAATAATAAAATTTCACTAAATAATTTAGTTTTTAATTTTTGTTTTTGCAAACTAACAAGCAATGTGATTCAATGTAATTAATTAGCAACATTTAACTACTTTAAAACACATTGAAACTTTAAAATCAATCCAGGAAATGAATTAACTTAATTTAGGGTCTAAACCATATAAAAAATAATTGTCATACTCGATCGTTTGAATTTAGAAAAAAATTCCATGCTATGATTTGAACTAGTCATAGATAGGTTAATAAATTGAGCCGTTTGATTATAAATTCATTGAAATTATGTATACAAAATTAAAAAAGCAATGTCAAAATTTTTCTATGTACCTATTTTCTGCAAAATTTTTAAAACAGCCTAATTTTTACATGAAAGCATTTGTATTAATAAGGTTCATGATATATAGAAAGTATGTAAAGAAACTTTTGTACAAGCGATTGTACATAAGTATGTATATAATAAAATAAAAGATATGTATGTACGTAATGAGTACGTGATAATGTGTGTACGCAATTATCTTGACGAACTTTTTATATTACCAAAAAAAAATAATTTACGTCAAACGCAATAAAAAAGATGAGACAAAAATTTGTAAAACTAATAATTATGTACTAAATTAAAAAGCACGGGAACTTTTTTAGAAATTAATTCAATTGTTGTTTATGCATCTTATTACATTCATGGTGTTATGAATTTCGGGACCTCAATTATTTATAAACATACATATATGTTTACCTTCACGTGTACGTAGCTCTATAAAAATTGCCTCATGTCTCTGAAAAAAGAAAATGCTTAACAGTTAAATATTGAGATATAAAACCTTAATTATGAATTCAGAAACAGTCTAAATATCACGAACCAAAAATTTAATTTACATGCTAGTCAATTTTAGTCATGTTGATAATTTAAAAATTGAGAATTTAAGGGAATACGATCTTATATTAGAACACGTAAACTAACTAAAAACTCAGCAAATGCGAATATTTTTTTTGCACTAATATTGTTTTACTATTAGGTACCTATTATCAATTTAATTGAATAAAGTCAAACAACATGTACGAAATTCAAAAAAATGATTTTCATTGTTTTTTAAATCAATTGTTTTATTTCGAAATTTTAGTGATGTGAACTTGACTTTGAATTCATAGCGGACGAAAAAGTTTAGGACATTACTCTATTTTCTTTGATTTTCCAAATATAGTGTCGAATAGTTAATATTTATTAGAATTAATAGTTAATATTTATTTTAGTTAATTAGAATAAAATTAAATTTTTATTTTAAATATTCACTTCTTGTACTCTTAATTTACGATTGAAATATTTCGATTTAGTACAAATATGGGGATTTTCGATAATACAGCCATGCACTTAAAGTTCTAAATCAAATCTTAAAAATTTTTCACAGTTTTTATACAATTGCAAAAACTGAATATGATAAGGCATAGTCTATATGATAAGGCCTAAATGATATTTAATGAAAAGGCCTATTGTTTGGGCTGTTATGCTTGATAAAAATCGTTAAAATTGCTCAACTCCCTGTGGTAGCGGCAACCATACGACTTCGAAAATTGTTTGGTTATGCCTTAGAAATCACAGAACTGCCTTGAAACCACAGTACTGAAATTTTACATATAACGACATTGACGGTTTGCGGAAGAATCTTTACGATATTAAAAAAGGTTCTATATAAAGGTTATCAAATTATCATCAATATTTGAAATAATATCATAAATCTAACATGCAAAACTCTATCAATTCTCGTTTTTTAATATTTTCGTTTGTCTATTACTCTTTAAACATTTTCTAAAACCACTGAATATATCTGCATACACATATATGTATGTTCATATTTTATATAAATATTTATCTATATCCCAGTGACGAGGGATACCATTTTTGAAAGAAGAACTAATATTTTTTATATACAAAAAAAAGCAAATAAAATTTATTGCAATGTTATTTTACTGGTTACTCTATTACATAGCGATTTGAATATTTTTCAAAATCAGCTAAAAGATATAAAGAATATAATGTACATACGTATGTGCCAAATGTAACTCACAAATGTATGCAATTTCTCTAAAAACTGTTTTTCAACACTTTCTTAAAAAAGTAATTTAGAATTTTTTCCATTTTGCTTTTTACTTAATAGTTAAAAAGGATTAGTTAAATAAAATACTTTGAATATAGAAAAGACATCTCCGATAGATACGTGTATAAATTTTGCTTTTGAACCCCGTTTTGGAAATCGATCGTACCCCAAGTTACCAAAATAGACCCGGGGAAGAAGGAATAGAAAAGGTTTTCAAAAGCTCTGTGAACGGAGCGTTTTTTAAAAAATAAAACTTGAAATAATAATAAAGGTAAGTTTTTATTAAAAATTATTGAATTAATGTTATTCTAAATAAAAATATATTATACGTTTGTGGAAAACTGTTGCTTACAAAAATATGTTATTTTGGAGGTAAAGCTCTTGTGATGAAGAAAAAATAATTAGAAATATATTAAGACGAGTGTATATGTTGAGAGAATACAGCAATATCATAGAATTACGAAAACAGGAGTAATACAATTTAGTTATTTTTAATAAGCATAGTATAAAACGGGAAAAAATAGAGTTTAAAAAATATCTTATTATATTATTACTAGCATGTTTGGTAATTATGGCATCGAAGGACAAATTTTTTTAAACAATTTTTTCTGATTATATAATCGGTTTCTTGTGCTACTACACCATTCATATGTATGTATATACTTTAAAAAATGTGTGACTCTAACCCACTAAAAACACCCACCACATTTAATCAATAAAACTAGTCGAAAAAAACTAACCGTTAATTTTGGTCTGGCTTATTTAAAATTGATCTGCCACAACGTCTTACTAGGGACTTGTTGTCCAGATATAAAACATTAAGCTAACTCGAGAAGTCTCATACGTTTAAGTCTCCTAACAAAGTTTTGATTGTCAACCAGACGAACCGCCACGACGTTGACATGTTGGGGTAAATGAATTTTATGATTGGCTGCTTGATTTTTAATTTCGTCTTTGACACTAGGGATCCTGAGATCTTTGTGTATATCATCATTACGTATTGACAATGTCTCGTAATGTTTTATTTTGAAATGTTTGAATACATTGAATGTAGTCTGCACAGCGCAACCCCATATTTGAACACCGTAAGCCCAGACTGGCTTAAATATTTTATTATATATCAAAACTTTGTTGTATATTGACAATGATGAATCCCTTCCCAAAAGGCATTTGAATTCTCTATATTTTTCTTATAGATGAGATTTTTTCTTCTTCATGTGCTCCTTCCATTTGAGCTTGGCATCTAAAATCATACCCAGGTATTTCGCTGAATTTGCATGTGAGATTATCACACCATTGATTGAGACTGAAAAAGAATTGTCAATTTTCATATTGGTGAAATCTATGTGGATCGATTTCACCTCGTTTAAACTTATGTTCCATTTTTTAGTTCATCTCATGATTATTACTGGCTCTCTGTAATTTATTAGTTGACTATTTTTTCCTATTGGAATTACTGCAGTGTCGTCTGCAAATTTTGCAGTTGTCACAAACTCCATTTGTGGAGTATCACAAGTATAGAATGACTATAATATTGGTCCCAATATGCCTCTTTGTGGTACACCGGACCCGATATCTCTTTGCGAAGAATATTCTTCTTCTTATTTAATTCGAAATATCCTTTCAGTAAGGTACGATTCGAGTAGTTGAACGTACTACTTCGGCAGTAATTGTTTAAGTTTATTTATTAACCCATAATATCAAACCTTATCAAAAATTGGGGTACGTCCAAAAATATGGCAGAGCATATCTGTTTTTCTTCGAGGTAATTCTCTATTATGTCAGAAATTCGATAAATTTGATCTAACGTCGAGTGTTTTCTTTGAAAGCCGAACTGATGATTCGGAATCAAATCATAACTTTCAATTATTGGTTTTTTTAGCAATAATTTTTCGAACATAATTATTTCTGCAACTTTCCAACTGCCAGCCATCCATGAGACGCGTAAGCATTGTAATTCTCTTTTTTGGTAGTTCCTTTGGTGCTTTTTTAGGTCGAAAAGACTTGATCTCAACAACAACCTCTCTTTCACTAATAATTAGAATAGCTACACCTCGGTCAATGAAACTTGTTTCCTGACTCTTTAGCATATCTTGATTGGCATGTAACATAAATATGTCAGCTAAATGATCAGCAAACGCATTTGCAAGATGCTTGACAGTCTGCATCATTTTCTTGTTAGGTAGATAATTTTGTATGTATCTGGAAATCGAATCCTGTTTACGTTTAAGTTGTTCTGCTTATTTGTATTTTTTCCAATGGGGAGAATAATTGACACCCCTTCTATTGATGGTATTAATTCTGGAACCATTCCAAGCTGCATTCTGGATAATTTTTTGTAAGCTTCTCTTAAAATTTTCTGCTCAAAATTTTGGCCATTCCGTTGACGTATTTGACCATCTTGATTTTGCTGTTTTCTTTTAAAGAAAAAATACGATTAAAATCGTAGTTGTGATAGACGTCAAATTCTGTTCTGCAAATTTCTTGGTAATCAAGATCTCTATTAGATCTGGACATCTATTCAGGTCAGTGGGCCAATATGTAGACCTGAAAGTGGCGTGAAAAATGCACCCCATTTCCCTAAGCGCACCCCTGGGCTCCTTACCTCCGGTCGAAGTTTTTCGACAACCCCAGTCAGTGTGCTTGGCTAACTATAGTCACCTTACACAAATCTGTCACCAAGTCGGCTTAGGATATTCCTAAAAGATTCTTTGGTTATTGTTACCTTGGGTTGATAGTATAGTGCATCCACTTTGAATTTTTGTTTAGTTGAAGTGATTTTACCTGCAGTAAATTGTATCTCCTCTGGCTGTATCTGGTGCAGATCACAAAGTGCAACATTTTTCTTAATTATGATCGCAGCGCTTCCTTTGCTCGGGTGAGGTGTACTATAAATTTTGAACCCACGAATCTGAAGATTAGTTCTGAATGTC